GCCCCCCCCTCTCTCTCTCTCTCTCTCTCTCTCTCTCTCTCTCTCTCTCTCTCTCTAAACGACTGCAGGAATGTCAGCACAGTAAAAGTGCAGATGAGCTTACAGAGCGAGTGATTGACAGATGTAGATTGACGTGGGTGGTGGAGAAAGTAGAAACTGAACTCTTATAAAATGCCATTTCTTTTGCTGAAGTTGACAAGCCACCAGTCAAAAGCACCGGTGACTCTCACACTGTTAAACACGTACTTGAGCTTTATGTTTGCATGTCACTAAAGCAGGTGAAGCGCTCCGGCGCGGGCGTGAGCACATATGAAGGGGTTGGAGCTGAACGTCTGTTGTGTTTTCATCCATTCAGGTCGCAGGCCAGTGACATGCTGGCTTTGACCACACGCTTACAGCAGAACTCCGATCAGGTGGAGAAGAACATCCTGCTGGCCAATAAACTGCTGCTGGAGGCAAGAAACACTCACTCACTCACTCACACACTCACTCGCACACACACACACACACACCACTCAAAAACAAGTTATAAAACGTTATAAAACAAGTTAATGTTTAGTCCAAATGAAAATACAGACTCAAGTGAAACATTGTAATGGTTCCAATCCATGTGACTTTCTTTCCTCTGTGAAACATAAAAGGGGTATTTTATTTTAAATTATATTGTTAATTTTTTTAATAATATTTTATAAATATATTTAAATTTTTTGTTTTATTATATTTTATATTTTCATTTTATTTGTATTTTTATAAGTTATATTTGACATTTTATTTTATTTACATATTATATATTATATATTGTTTGTTTTTTTACATTTTATTTATTGTTTAGTTTATCATTTATTTCATTTTTGTTGCATTATTTATTGATTGAATTATATTGCCTGTCAGATTATAATCATTAAAGATGACATTATTTACTTCAAACATATGACATTTATGCATATTTTGATGTGAGTACACTTTGTTAAACAGATGTACAACAAATAGGAAAAAAGAAAAAAACATATAATAATAAAGAAAAACTGGTATGAGATCACCCCACAAACAGCTTAAGAGAGATCTAATGGGTTTTGTCTACTATTTTTCAGACCAAGAAGTAACTCAACATGACATTTTATTTCAAATGTAGCTGAAGTATGAGGATGTGTTCTGTCTCCCAAATTAAAGCTAGCTTAGAAGCACACATGCTAAACTGCTAAACCAGCGTGTTAAAGCTCTCTGTGTCTGTTGTGTTTCTCCGATCAGGACCTGGAGAACAAGCGTGCGGGCTCTCCTCTCAAACAGCAGGGTCCCGCCGCCGAGAACCTGTCTCAGGCCGAGATCTTACTGAAGGATCTCTTCATGGACCTGAGCAAAGCCAGAAAGCTGAAGCACCCGCAGGCCGGCGAGATCGAGCTGGAGTGAGTGAACAAACACAAACACACGTAACACACGCCAGTCAGTGCTCGGCTCTAACGCTTTCCTCTGAAATGTGTGTGTGTGTGTGTGTGTAGTGTGAGTAAACTGCACGAGTGCTGGTCCAAATACTGCGGCACCTACAGAGATCTCTACGGCCAGCTGCACGAGCTCTATCTGCCGCCTGGCCTCGACTGGAGCAGCCTGCTGTCTGATAAACAGGTGACTGCCACAACATCACCTACTGACAGCATTCAGGGCTATCGGCACGTCTATTATGAGAAAGTGAAAGAAAAAGTGCAGTTAAAAGGTTCAAACAATGCTTATCCAGACCAATGTGACAGGTTCCTCAAAGAGCATCTTCTGTAGAAAAACCTCTGTCATCTGGTGATTTAAAGCAGGGGATTTCAAACTGAGGTCAAGACTAACTAGAGGGTCGCAAGTGTGTGCTATGAGGGCCGTAAAATTGTTTAGAGAAGAAGTGTAAACGTAAATAAATGATAAAAAGATTAGTACACATAAATAAACAAACATTTGATTTAAATACGTACAAAATAAATAGATAAACGTTAGATTAACACAAAAAATTCAATTAAATAAGCAAATAAATTGATGCAAATTGATTAAAATAATTCAAAAGTAAATAATTAATATAAATAAAACGCCTATAATTGTCACGTGTATGTTCCCGTTTAGTTCATGTTTTCCTTATTTGGTCCTTCCTGTTCCTGTCCTCGTTGTATTACATTTGGTTCCAGCTGTGTTTGTTTAATTAGTTAATTTGCTCCCAGGTGTGTCCCATTGGTGTCTGTGTCTTTATAGTGAGTCTCGTTCTAAGATTCTTGGTCCGGAATTGTTTATGTTCCCTCCTTGTGCTATGTGTGATTCACTGAAGAAGAATATTAAACTCCTTTGTTTTGTACTCCTGGTCTCCTCGTTCCTCGCTCCTCGCTCCGTGCTCCTCACAGTAGCAACCCGAGACAGAATTCCGAACCACACAAAAAGTGAGCGGCGACTTTTCCTCCGGTTGTTTTTTCCGCCTTTTTGAAAAGTTTTTAAGTCAAGTCAAGTCACCTTTATTTATATAGCGCTTTTAACAATACAGATTGTGACAAAGCAACTGAACAGCATTAATTAGGAAAATAGTGTCAATAATGTAAAATGACAATAGTAAACACTCATTTTTCAGTTAAAGACAGTTCATCATTGAATTCAGTGATGTCAACATCCAGCTCAGTTTAAATAATATCTTTGCAATCATGTCAACGATATCGCTGGAAATGAAGTGTCCCCAACTAAGCAAGCCAGAGGCGACAGCGGCAAGGAACCAAAACTCCATCGGTGACAGAATGGAGAAAAAACCTTGGGAGAAACCAGGCTCAGTCGGGGGGCCAGTTCTCCTCTGACCAGACGAACCAGCAGAACGGAAAAATCAATATAAGACGTAATAAAACAGACGATGAACAATATTAACAGCAATTATTATATGATGCAATCAAACTTATAGCAAAATGTGGTAGTTCTGTATGTTGTTTCAGGGTTGGCATCATCTGAGGTCCTCTGAGGGGTTGGCATCATCTCTTCTCAGGTGTTCTGGATCCAGACTGAAGCTTGTGTAAATCCTAGTTACCACCTTTTACCATCCTTTTAGTTTTCCTTGTTTTCCCCGCGGCTATGGAAATTGCCGCTCGGTTCTCCGCCTTAGCTCGCCTAGATCTCCCCTTTGTTGAGTATTCCTGGGAGTTCTGCAGGCTCGCCGCGGCTACGGCCCTAGATGACGCCACCATTAATTCTCTGTTCTGGCTCGGGGCCAAATACCATCGCCCCGTGGACATCCCAGACACCCCGGGACTGAGCTGGAGGGAAGTAATCCTCCGGTGTCTGGAGAGCGTCCTGCCCCGAGCCAGAACCAGCCCGCAGTACGCAGCCTACTCTAGTTCACCGGCCATTAATCTGGCAAGCCCAACGAACATTAATATGGCAAGCCCGCCATGCATTCATGACGCTCCAGTGTCGGCTCCAGCCCCAGAGCTCGCTCCAGTGTCGGCTCCAGCCCCAGAGCGGTCAAGCCCAGGGAGGGCTCCTGATCCCCAGGGCTTGCTCCAGTGTCGGCTCCAGCCCCAGAGCTCGCTCCAGTGCCCGCTCCTTGTAAGCGCTTTCTAGAGCGCCATCTAGTGCCCGCTTCTCCAGAGTGCCCCCCAGGATTCCTACATTTCCCCAAGAAATTTTTTTTGGGGGGGCCATATATCCGTGGCCGAGCCAGCTAAGGCCACCGATGATCCGCCATGGCCTCCTGAGTCCCCTGATTCACCATGGCTCCCTGATCCGCCCTGGAGGCTCTCCTTGTCTCCGCTCTGTTCCGGTCTTGTACCACTCCGGTACTCCCGCGCCATCTGGGAGGGGGGCGATCTGTCACGTGTATGTTCTCGTTTAGTTCCTGTTTCCTTATTTGGTCCTTCCTGTTCCTGTCCTCGTTGTATGAATTTGGTTCCAGCTGTGTTTGTTTAATTAGTTAATTTGCTCCCAGGTGTGTCCCATTGGTGTCTGTGTCTTTATAGTGAGTCCCGTTCTGAGTTTCTTGGTCCGGAATTGTTTATGTCCCCTCATTGTGCTATGTGTGATTCCCTGAAGAAGAATATTAAACTCCTTTGTTTTGTACTCCTGGTCTCCTCGCTCCGTGCTCCTCACAGTAGCAACCCGTGACAATAATAAACATAATCAGTACATACATATTATATTATAACAGAAAAAAAACAATGTAACTTAAAAAATAATGTTAGACATTTGTTTATAGATGAAAAAATCATTAGATGAAAACAAATACATTATAAATTAGATTAAATAAGTAAATGAATAAAAATTATATCAAAATATATAAATTAACATTCGATAAAAACAAACAAGTAAATAATACAGTAATATAACCAATACAGTACTGTAATAGAAATAGAATAGAAAAACATAATGTAACTTAATAGAAACTGATTAATCTCCAAATAATATTTTAGGCATATTTATAAATAAATAAATACATTAGATTGAATAAGCAAATAAATAAAAATTTGAATAATACATAATGAACATTAAATTAACATTAATTAAAACAAATGAATAAATACTTAAAAATTTGATTAAAATAAATACATAAGCAAGTAAATAAATAAATAAATGCATACATACAGAAAGTACTATTACATTTTTAAAAAATTGATGTAACTTAATTGAACCTAAATATTTTCCAAATAAAATTTTAGACATATTTTTAATGTATATTAAACATATGTCTAAGTTTTCAATGTTTTTCTACATTGAAAATTGGGTCTTTATACAAGAAATAATATAGATGCCTTTAAGATTTTAGGATCGCCATGTTTGGGAGTCTGTGGCATTTTAAAGTTTGAAAACCTTCTGCTTTAAAGCACCTAGAAACCAAAACACAGATCAGAAGAAGCTCTAATGAAACATCAAGAGCTTTATTCATCTCCAAAGAAGCATCTAGCAGCTCAAGAGACCTGAACATGTTTCATTACTGAAGCCAAGAGCGTCTGAAGAAGCTTTATTTGAGTGTGTGTGTGTGTGTGTGTGTGTGTTTCAGAAGCTGATTCAGGAAGATGTTTACGGTCCGACTCTGTCTGATGTGGAGAAACAGATTGCAGTCCACAACATTCTGCATAAACAGATGGAGGCGTATCGCTCGGCTCTGGAGAGCAGCGGCGTCAGTCTTACACACACACACACACACACACACACACACAAACACAGTAAACACACACACACACACAAACACAGTAAACACAAACACAGTAAACACACACACACACACACACACACACAAACACAGTAAACACACACACACAGTAAACACAATAAACACACACACACACACACACACAGTAAACACACACACAAACACAGTAAACACATACACATTTGGGGTGATAGGAACCAAGTGACATTAGCGTGACACTCGTGTAATTCGTTTTTTTCTTTCAATTGTGTGCATGTAAAATTATTTTATAATAGAATAGAATAATTTTATTGTCAACATTTTGTACACTTTCCAACAAGGTCTCATTTGTTAACATGTTAATGCATCATCTAACATGAACTAACAATGAGCAAAATATTTGTAAACCTTTATTAATCTTTGATGCTAGTTGATAAAAATGCAGTTGTTGATTGGTTGTCCAAGTTAGTTCACAACATTAAAAGATTTTTAAAAATGTAGTAGTAAATTATTTAATGATTTATCTTAATAGAGGGAGGAGAGGTCCGTCGTGAGGAACGAGCAGCGTCTGGCGGATCTGAGAGAGCTTTGCACCAGCATCGCTCCTCTACACCTGCGCCGGAGCACCACAGACAAACCCATCAATGCTATCGCTCTGTGTGACTGGAGCACTGAGAAGGTAACCTCCTTTTCTGACATTAATTAATACTTTTATTGATCAAGGATGCATTAAATTGATCAAAAGTGACAGTACAGGTATTTATAATGTTGCAAAAGATTTGGAAAGCTCATCAGTGGAGGACGAACTGTGCTAAACGTTTCTCTGCTGCAGGACTCTGTGAAGAAAGGCGACAAGGTCGCGCTGGTCTCTGATCCCAGAGAGGAGATCTGGGAGGTGAAATCCACCTCAGGAGAGACCAAGCTCATCCCAGGAGTCTGTTTCCTCATCCCTCCACCCGATTCAGGTGCCATCGACAGGGTGGACGGGTAAGAAAGCTCCTGAGACGCAGGAAGTGCTGGTCTAGCTCTCCCAGCTGCTTCCTGTATTAACATTCCTGTGTTTTTGTCTTGTATTCAGTCTGAGCAGAGATTTCTCTGATCTGAAGAGGACGAGGTCGGCTCTACAGGCCCAGGTGAAGACACCTGCAGTGGAGGTCACGCAGTTCGTAAAACAAGGTCTGAAGCAGTGTTATGTATTTACCATTGATATACTATCAGGGTGCCATCGACAGGGTGGACGGGTAAGAAAGCTCCTGAGACGCAGGAAGTGCTGGTCTAGCTCTCCCAGCTGCTTCCTGTTTTAACATTCCTGTGTTTTTGTCTTGTATTCAGTCTGAGCAGAGATTTCTCTGATCTGAAGAGGACGAGGTCGGCTCTACAGGCCCAGGTGAAGACACCTGCAGTGGAGGTCACGCAGTTCGTAAAACAAGGTCTGAAGCAGTGTTATGTATTTACCATTGATATACTATCATAGTTTTTGTTTATTTTTTGAAATAGGTTTCATTTTATTGTCTGTGTGTGTGTGTTTTCTGGGAGTTTTTAAATTTTCTTTTTTCTTTAAATTTTAATTAAAGTTTTAGTAATTTTGTTGTTGTTGTTTTATTTTTGTTATTTTAAATATGACTATATAGTTTTAAAAACTTTTAGTTTTTAATTAAAGTTTATTTAATTTGAGTTATTTTAGTATTTTAACTTAAATTAAAATATATATTTTTTTAAACTTAATGTTGCCAAGGCAACATTTCTCATTGTCGTTTAGTTTATTTCAGTTAATGTTTATTTTGTTTTGTTTAAAATAATTAACTTTTTTTTTTATTAAAGGAACAGTTCACACAAAAAACTTAAAATTTGAAATTTGAAAAATTTTGAAAATGTACTCACTCTCAGGTCATCCAAGATGTAGATAAGTTTGTTTGTTCATCAGATTTGGAGAAATGTAGCATTACATCACTTGATCACCAGTGGATCCTCTGCAGTGAATGGGTGCCGTCAGAATGAGAGTTCAAACAGCTGATAAAAACATCACAATTGCAGCTAAAATACCATAATCATTAATAATGCTTTCTTCAGTGAAAAAGTCATCTGGTCTGAATCAGGAGAGAAATCTGCACAGATCAAGCACCGTTTACAAGCCAAAACAGTCCAAAACAGCTCTAAACAAATATGTTGGTGGATTTTGATGTGAGAGACAACAGGAGATGGACTTTTTCACTGGAGGAATTAAGGATTGTGGACTTGTATTTTAGCCGGAAGCAACATTTTAAAGTTAAAACATCTTAATGATGGATTTGTTTCTTACAAACACACAACTTTTGGCTTCACAAGACAATAACTGATGGACTGGAGTGGTGTGGATTATTGTGTTTTTATCAGCTGTTTGGACTCTCATTCTGACGGCACCCATTCACTGCAGAGCATCCATTGGTGAGCACGTGTCTGTTCCCTTGAAGAAACAAAATCATCTTCATCTTGGATGGCCTGAGGGTGAATTATCATGTTAAATTTGAGTCGTAAATTGTTATTTCTCCCAACAGTCGCTGTGGCCACCGTTCCTGACAGCGCAAAGGCCGGCCTCATTGACAGCCGGCTGGAACAGATCTATTTAGACCTGCTGAAGTTAGAGAAAGACATGCAGAACCGAATGAGGTCTCCGTTAGATCGCGCCGCACCCATCGGAGATCTGTCTTCCAGAATCAAAGACCACGATGTAAGAGCGGGAATCAAAACCAATAGATTTTCGAGTCTAAATGTGGTTATTTAGTTGGTCAAAGGAGAAACAAATGCTGGATAATATAGTTCGTATGAAACATTGACTGACACCCAGTTTGCTCTGATCTCTCCAGAGTTTTGTCACGATTCTAAAGAACCTGGAGGCAGAGAAAGCATCGGCTCAGAGGGACATGGAGCCCCTGATATCCCAGAAACCCCTGGGGCCCACCACGTCCTCACTGCCTCTGAAACTAAGCAAAATCAACAACAAAACCGACGACATCACCGCCCTCTCTGATCTCTACCACAAGAAGTAAGAAACAACAAGAAGCCTGCAGTAAATCACACAAGCAAGGCTTCATAAAGTATTGTGCTATTTCTATGGTTTATGGAGACATACTATGGTAAAAACTTGGGATTATTTCTTCAGGGTCACGTCTTCCATGTTCCTGGAGAAACAGATCAAGAAGGTGTGCAATATGCTGACTGCGTTCGAGGATCAGTTGGCTGCAGACACTGGCATATTTGATGAACCCAATGCCATCCGCAACCACTCCAGACAGCTGCAGGTAGACACCACTGATATATAATAGAGAACTGGATTGCTCATGACGTCATAAAAGTATCACATATCATATTCATTACAGTAGCGTACATAAACATCAGCTGGATGAGATCCTAAAAAATATGCATTTCAAATGACAAAGTGCTCACGGAATCTGAATAAAGATTTATGATTTCTATACGTTAATTCGCCTTGTACATTCACTGTTTATGTAATTATGTCATTGTATTTTTATTCCTACGGTAGGCTAACTGCAAATGTTACAATGATTTTGGTAACAGCATGCATTTTGAAGAAGTTAATGATTTAAACGTTAAATTAATAATTAACCATACATAACATAACATTTTATTGAAACTGCAATGCTAGTAAAACTCCATAGAGTTTGCGCAATCTTGAAGAGTCTGAAATAGACATTGCTCCATCAGGACATAAAAAATATACACATCATAACTTATTCAGAGAAATAACGCTGACTGCATATGCTACGGACTTAAGGACATGAAGCTTTATTTCCAACATGATGCTTGGTAAGCTTTGATTTTCAATACCATATAGAGCAATATAGTAACAGAGGCTTCTATTGTAATATTTTTTGTTTATCCGAATCCATTTCTGATACTAATACCAGATATATGTTCATGTTTAATATTTCCTGCATAATTACGTACATAGAGAAATATATTTAGTTTTGGATCAGTTACTTGTGTCGGCATGTGCGCAGCAGACACACCCACCTTAACGATTTCGATATGTCACTTATCCTGTCCGAAAAGACCATAAACATCTGAAGTAACAATTAATTTACATACACATATATTAAAAACTAATCAGATCAGGTGATTTTAGGTCAGTATTTTGGCTGTCAGTCAATGGTGCTCTCTGCTGGTAGGGAATAGTAAGATCGATGACGGCTCCTGATAGCACTTTAGAATGCAATCCAGTCATTATAGATCAGTTGTAGATGCTCAAACACAATGTGAAATGCTGCTATGTGTCGTTATCTATAGTATTAAAGGGATAGGTCTGCCATATACATGAAAAAAGTAGATTTTTTACTATGTTGTGATCGAATATATGCAGCCTCGGTGAGCAGAAGAGAGTTCTTTCAAAAACATTTAACAATCTTTCCGATCTTAAACTTTTGAATGTAGTGCATCATGCATTATATTCAAAGTCTTCTGAAGCCTTATGAAAGAAACACCAATTTACCAGTTCAAGTCATTATTACCTAAATATCTTCCCTTTTAGATTCAGGGCTGAAATGAAAGTATGAGTGGTTTGGATATGGTACAACTTCCCATGCAAAATATTGTAATGATTTGTCTGTAAATGTCTATAATTGTTTTCTCTTTAGACCATGATTAAAGATGTTATATCCAAGAAAGATGACATTCAGCAGCTGAACCGTGAGTTGGAAGTCACAGAGCAGGCATGTAGCTCCCTGCAGAAGAGCTTCCAGGAGTATTGCCCTGATATCCGCCACCAAGAGACCGAGGTCAAGCACTTGAGGAATCGCTACTCTAACATCAAAAGCCAGCTGCAGCAAAGGTGAGATGTCAAAAAGAGGCATCTTTTTTGTTTCTTGAGGCAAGTCTGTTTTTTTACAGTGCTACAGTCTTTTGAACTCTATCCGTAAATTTTAATTCACAGGCCAACTCTGTTGCAAGAGGTGGTCAATAAAAATAAGGAATTTAACAGTGCCAACCAGTCACTCACTGCTTTCCTCATCAATATGCCCAACAACGAAGTTCGGCCTGGTGAAAGTGTGTCGCAAATCTATGCCAAGCAAAACTCTCAGTTGGTCAGTATTAAGTTTTATTGGCATGGTTTTGATTATTTACATTTTTTTTTATTACTATTATATTTTTTATATATTTATTTTAAATATTTATAAATTCTTAAAGAAGAAATAGTTTTTGATGTAAAAAACAATTAGAACTATTGCTATTAGTATATTGATTGCTTATTTTTTGCAATTCCGTTTAGTGCCACTAGTGGCACGGAAATTACATGTATCACATTTCTCAGATACATTGGATTTTCGTGTAATATCATGTAAAAAAAATTGGGTTTTTTTTGGTTGCAGAGGGCAGTTGAAGACATCAAGAGAAAGCAGGATGATGTAAACCGGTTGGTGAAAATTTCTCGTGAACTGCAGGGCATTCTTAACGTACGAAGGCCATCTTGAACATAATCATACTACTGCACATTTCACATGTCAGTTCTAACATGAATGTAAATGATCTGTTGCTTCTGTGTCTTCAGGAGTATGATCTGAATTCTAACAAATACCGCAGTGCATTGGGAAAACCAGAAATAAACACAAAAATACTTGATTACATCACAATGGCTGAAGCTGTGCAGAGGAAGGTAGGTTGCTTTGCCATATTAATGACTTATTGTTTATGTACGTTTCCAAATATCTGTACAATTGGTTACTTTAGGAAAGGGATGTTGTGAACCTTTACTCTGAAGTATCAGCACAGAATAATCAACTACTGAATCAAGTGATCTTGGCCAAGGACCTCATCAACAAGGTACTGACTTTCTAAGCAACAATCATTGGAATAAATAACAAGTTAAATGCAAATGTTGTTGAAGGGTGTAAAGCTACCATGAACTTCTTAACTTAACCTAAACAAATCTTTATTTGTATCCCATGAATAGAATGATGAAATTGTGAGCCATGTGGTGGTAAGGCAGCAACTTCAGATGCAAAGTCAGCAGAGAGACATGGACGAAGTTGACGGTCTGAAGCAAGAGCTGGCTGAGGAAATATCTCGCCGTGCTTATGCCGAGAATGATTTAACGACCTACAGGAAACGGATGGTGTCCCTGAAGAGTCGGAGAGGTGTGGAGCGAGTGGAAGAAAAGGAAACTGTGCATTACTACCGTGATCAGAAGCTAGAGGCCAACTTGGAAGCACTTAAGAGGAGGATAACAGAAGAGATACATAAGCGATCCGAATTGCACACAGAAATTGAGATTGTCAACAAAAAAATGGTCAGTCATGAACGTGAAATTATCGAAGTGAAGCCCAAGCTGGTGACAAAGGTGCTTACAGAAATTGAGCGTGATCCCAAATTGGATGTTGAAGCCACGAGGATCAGGGAGCTCATACTCAAACTAAGGGAGGAAATTCGAGTGCACGAGAGTGAAACGGTACATATGAGAACGGAAGTTACTGTCTTGGAGAGCAAGAGGCCTGTGATAAAAGAGAAAGTGGTTCTGAAAGAGGTCGTGAAGCTGGAAAAAGACCCCGAAATGTTAAAAGCTGTGATTACCTTCAAGAACGAGGTTGCGGATGAGGGTATCAGATGCCAGAACCTGAATGATCAGATATTCCAGATTAGGAGTCAGATCAATAATCTGGAGAGGATTATTCCAACTATACAACCGAAAACTATCATCAAGGAGGTGAAAAAGGTGGAGCAGGATGCCGAACTCCTACAAGAGTCCAAGACTCTCCGTGTACACCTGGAAGAACTGATCCGAGAATACAGTACTTTGATGAAAGAGTTCTCCAGCCTTCAGCTCCGCTACAGCCAAGTGGAGACCATCAAACAAAAGATAGAGTTTAATGAGATCATCCATGAGATATTCAGAATTGACCCTGAGACAGAGGTGGAACTGAGACGGCTGAGAAATGAGCTTCTTGAAATAAGCAGACGGCGTACTAGCTTTGAAAATGAGATCAACGTGATCATGGTGGATCTGAAGACTCTGCGCTCTGAGAAGCCCAAGGTTGAACTGAAGGAAGTGACTCGAGAGGTGGTGAAAGAAGAGAGGAGTCCTGAAATTGTCAAAGAAATCAAGAGGTTGAATGAGCAGCTCACCATTTTGAGAACCAATTTCGACTCCACTATGAATCGGGTGATTCGTCTACGCAAGGACAGGGATGAGTGGAAGGCCGAAAGATCAAAGGTGGAGACCAAAGTGGTGACCAAAGAATTTATAAGGTATGAAAATGACCCTCTCCTGGAGAAGGAAGCTGAACGTCTCAGGAGGGAAGTACGTGAGGAAGTTCAACGTCGTCGAACAGTGGAGGAGAATGTGTTTGACCTTAAAAACAAGTACATTGTGCTGGAGAGACAGAGACCAGAGGAAAGGGTTGTGGTCCAAGAAATTGTGCGCCTCCAGACAGATCCCAGTCAGATTCTGGCTCACGAGAGGTTAGTCAAGACTTTGGAAGAGACCATCAAGGTTCGTAGGCAGCTAGAACTGGAGGTGCAGCAGATGAGATCTCTAGTCCTGGAGCTGGAGAAAAAACTGGAGCTTGTGGATCGGCAGAAGAAGATCCTAGTGGAGACAGAGCTGAGACAAATCAAGGCTAGAATCTATGAACTTGAAACTTGCCCAACACCTGTTGAGGAAAAGATTGTTATAGAGGAGGTTTTGAAAGTTGAGAGAGACCCTACAGTCGACAAACTAATCACTGACTTTCGCGTTACCATGGAAAGCGAGGGTGCCAGAATTACCCACCTGGAGAGAGATATTCGAAACCTCAAAATCAGGATAGAGTCCCTGACCAAAGAGAAATCTGTGGAGAGGGTCATCCACAAAGAGGTTATCAGGGTTGAGAAGGACCAAACGGTGGAGGCTGAGAGAGAAAACCTTAGAGCTCAACTCACCCAGTTGAAGAATGCTAGAGCCCTCAAAGATGAAGAGCATCTGCGACTCAACAACAAAATAACTCGAATTCAGACAACCAGAACAAATTTCTCTCAAGAGGAGACCACCTTGATTGTTTACAGGGATAGAATCAAGAAAGAGACGCATGAACTTCTCCAGGAATTGAGAAGACTGGAGTCTCAAAAGCAGGAGATCACCATAACTTTCCAACATCATTCCAAGCTCTTGAGTGAGAGGAACCAAGTCAGCAGGCAAAAGAGCATCAAGCTGGAGTCTGAGATCCAGCGTCTGGAGAGAGAAATCCTGGAAGTGAAAGAGCTTATCAACCAACGGGAAATTACTATCATGGAGCTCCATAAACAAGCAAAGGAGGCACAACATACAGAGACAAACACCAGAGAGACTAACGTCTCCACCAAAATCACCATTCTGGACCAAGAGACCGGCAAAGACATGTCAGCCTATGACGCCTATGTTGAAGGTCTGATTGATCGCAATCAGTACATCCACTTCCAAGAGCTTGAGTGTAGTTGGGAGGAAATCACAACCACCGGTCCTGAAGGTGAGACCACGCTTCTGCAGGATCGTAAAAGTGGAAAGCAGTACTCCATCAAGACAGCCCTGCAAAATGGCAGACTGACCCAGTATGACCTTCAGCGCTACAGAGAGGGCAAAATGTCCATTTCAGAGTTTTCTCTTCTGGTCGCAGGGGAGAAGAAATCAACATCCTTCCCTGCTCTAAGTGCAACGCAAACAACAACTGTTCAGACACTCGCTCCAACAAGCCAGAGCTACAACTCCTCCTCTTCATTGACGCGCCGCCTGTCCTACTCCAGCAATAGCAACTTAAACTCACTGCTGATCACCAATGGAGATGAGCTCTTCCCGATTTCTGGCATCTTAGATGTCACCACAGACAGCCGCATGTCTGTACGAAGTGCCCTAACACGCAAACTGATTGATCAAGACACAGCGATGAGACTTCTGGAAGCTCAGGCCGCCACTGGAGGTATTGTGGATCTGAACAAGAAGGACAAGCTCTCCATTCACAAGGCAGCAGAGCATGGATTGATTGATTCGAGCCATCTTCACAAACTCCTCAGTGCCCAGAAGGCCTTTACTGGTTTTGAAGACCCCATGTCCAAAGAGCGAATGTCCGTGGGAGAAGCCGCCCGCAGGGGATGGATCCCCAACGACAGTGGCATGTGGTTCATGGAGGCGCAGATGCTGACCGGCGGACTGGTAGACCCGAACCGAGCAGGTCGCATTGACATGCAAAATGCTGTTGACACAAAACTGATCGACGCATCTGTGGCCAAGAAACTTCAGGATGATTCAGCATTCGTGAAGAACGTGATCGACCCCATCAAGAAGGAAAAGATCACATATAAGGAGGCCATGGCTCGATGCAAGAGGGACTACACCACAGGGCTGCTCCTGCTCCCAGCTGCCTCGACTGACACTGTTGACGCTCCATCCTATGCCAGCTACAAATTCTCCAGAAGATAAAGACAAACCCAAGAGTGAAAACAGATTTAAGTGCTGCATAACAAGGGACTTTTAATTCTAGGGCTTTTTTCATACCCATATATAAGATAAATAATCTCTGGAGCCTCTCATACTGAGGAGTTTATATTTTCCTGTCTATGCTTTTCCAGTTACTCATTATTTTCTGGTTTATCTTAATGAATGGGCTGAATTGATTTTTGAACTTCATATATAATAAAAAATCCTATTTCATATATACCTAAAGTGACTTTGTATGCATTATCTTTCCAGCTAGGAAAAGTGAATATCTACAGTAAATTCAATCTCTGAATGAAAACGCTCAACAGCAGGGTTTCCCAAACTGGGGTTCGTGAACCCCTGGAGGTTTGAAAGGGAACTGCAGGTGATTTGTGAGTTAATGAAAATGAATTAATCATAAAAATCTAAAATAATAAAAAATAATATTAAAATCACAATACAACCCTTGCAAAAAAGTTGATATAGTTAAATGTTTACTTGCATATCATGTGACTCACTAAGATCAGAGAACTGTGAACATGCAAATATGCCATTAAATTATTAACTTATTTATATTTTTAAAATTATATACTTAATATTTTAGCTTAGAGGGGTACGGGTGACAAAAAAGTTTGGGAATCTCCTCTATACAGGGTTTCTAGAATTTATCAGTTTTGATCCATAATAAAAGGTTTCCCTAATAATAAAGGCCTAAACATTAAATAATTTTGACCAAGAAAATGCTAAGAAGCATACATTTTCATTCCACTCTAATAGTAATAATATTAGTTATAAATTACAGTATTTTTACTGATTCACATATGTGATCTTACACATAAAAACAACACATATACACAAATGTACACACATAAATGTGTTTACCATCTGAAATTTGTTTATTTATTTTTCATACAAATGTATGACTGGAAAAATATAGAACATATTTATATATATATATATAGAGAGAGAGAGAGAGAGAGAATGCTATTAAATATCACAGTACAGTTGCAAGCATATGCACATTTTTAATTTGCAAACAAATCAAAGTGCTTTTATTCAGATTGCTCCTGATCACCACAGAATCCCCTCTGGCCATGTACAGTATTGTGCAAAACTCAAATGTCTCAAAATGTCCCTTGCACAAACAATTAAAAATACTTCATCAAAAACGATATGGAGTGTTTACAAAATTTCAACTCGGATACAACAAGTATCTGATGTAAACTTGGTCCACTTTTCAAACTCATTCATTCATTGTCTTCCAAAGAGCGTCATCCATACACAAATCAAAACGACATGTCCTACGGCTGTTTAACACGTGTTGAACATCTATATGGCTTTAAACCTTTCAGTCATGGTTAGCCTGAATCTGTCTATTGGTCTGCATCTGGCTGGTCCGTACAAGCCTGTAACAATCATTAATGCAAATACTTGAACCTGAATATTGGCTGTTTTGAAATCCAGAACCTCAGTGCCAGACGAAAATGATATTAAATTCGTAATTTAAAAAACATAGACATCATTTTAGGTCACAATGAAGCAAACAGCTTTGGTTATGGGTGGATGTTCATTTAACATGTTTTAACCTTTAACCTTTCACTAATGACATCACCCAGGAAGTGACATCATCTTGGAGGAGAAATGGCTACAGACATCAGTAAGTGTTATCAATGGATTTGATGAATTCTGTGATTGTTTTAGTCTCTAAATGTTCCATCTTGTTTGGAAAATGTACCGATTAGTTTGATTTTAAAAGATGGTCAAACTATGAAAATGAACTTAAAGGTGATGCTTATATAAGCGAACTGTCAATAAGCAATGCATAACTTTAGCACTTTATGAACATCTGCACATTTTCTTGTTGTTTTGTTATTAATCAAGTTCAAATTGTAATGTAAGAATGATAGTCTGACCCTTGAACTTACAGAAGCGAATCAGATCTTGTCTTTTAATTTAAAATTTACCATCAGACGTTTAACTAAGAAAAAGTATTTTTTTCTGGAATTGTTGGTTTCTTATTCATGAAAAACAAAAAGGTTTCCATTGACAGGACATTGAGCGACTGGGTAATGTGTTACAATATCAGCAATACAAATGTATTCAGCAGTTATTTTGTATGCCGTTGATGAAAAACTGTTATTTCCCATGAGGACCTGAAGGCAGCATGTTCGGTGCACTTTTCTAGAGAACAGCAGAACAGTTTCATGGCTAGAAGGAAAATATTGATATTTTTGTATGGATTATTTATATTTTAAATAATGGCTGATCTATGGCAGGCATCGCAAACACTTCAGACTCTGATGGAGATGATATTGAGATGATACTGGTGCAGGCGGCTGGTGAGGCTTTATCATAAACACAAACATCTTCTGAGTCAAACTGCTCTTCACAAATCGCATTTTGATTTATATCATAGAAAAATAAAGATGAACAACTATATCATATATTTTCAACATTGGCACTTCTGAAAATCAAGATCGGTGGACCGCAGCAGCATAAACTCCAGCATAACACAGATGTCTGCGCATCAAACCTCAGCCCGAAATCACAAAATATACTCGCAAAATCAATTTCACATTTAAAACGATACGTTAATTACTTCTTACAAAATGAGAATTTAGGGTTAAATAATAATGTCAGAGGTCAGAAAATAATGTCAAAATGTAAAAAAAAAAAATCCTAATGATCTTCATTTTCATAATATATATATATTACTTCTGATTTTGGGGTGAAATTTGATGTAGGCATGCTTTCTGAAACATGAGCATCAGAGGTGATGAATCTTAGCTCACATTTCATCCCAAAATTCATAGTAAAAAAATAAGAAGTTGTGTTTTGTACAAAGAAAACAACGCTTATTTTATATTAAGTGAAGAAACTTTGCATTGGGAATGTTTGCAATTTAATGTTTCATTGTCATGAAAATCTTGCTACAATGTAAAAACAGTCAATTTTCTTAATGCAAAATATTATTTCTTTTGATTTTTGGGGTGAGGTGGCATGGCCATGTTTTCAGATGCACAAGCATCCCAGATTAATGAATATTTCACTCCATATTTCACTACAAAAATCACAGAAAATAAATAAGAAATTATGTTTTGGATAAAGTAAAAACATTCTGTTTTAACAATGTAAAAACAGTCAGGTTTTATGCAAAATGTCATTTCTAATTTATTTTTTATTAATTTTAGGGTGAAAAATGACATTTCTTCCCATTCAAAGAAAACAATAAGTAATTATGTGCTTTTGCATAAAGAAAATTAAGCTTATTTTGTGGATTAGATATTGATGTTTTTCATTGTGCTATTTCTCAATTAAAAAAAATTGTCAGGAAAATTGTCACAATATAAAAGCCCATTTTCTCAATGCAAAATATAATTTCTTATTTTTCCCCCCTTTGTTTTTGGGGTAAAATGCAACTTGAGCATGTTTTCAGACGCACAAGCATCAGAGATGATGAATCTCAACCTGTTCAGCTCATGTTTCACCTCCAAAACCACACAAAATAAATTAGAAATCATGTTTTGCATAAAGAAAGTGACATTTATTTGTAGATTTGTAGAATTAATTACTTTGCAGTAAAAATAATTTGTGGTCAGAAAATGACAATGATTTGCAAAAATTTTTGCATAAGGAAAACAGCTTATTTTTTTTTACATGTTTTAAATAAAAATGTGGGATTTGCAATGCAAAAACAATATATTTTCTTAATGCAAAACATAATTTCCTATTATTTTTACTTCTGTTTTTTACTTTTTGTATTTTTACATGACCTAGCCATGTTTTTTATGAGATTTACTCAGTTACAATTCTTTAATAAAACAAACAAGCGAACATTAAATTCAAGTTTAACAGCAGCCAGTCGGGATTGTGCGGTTCAGGTAAAGGACCTCCCATTTTAAACAGCTGTTTGCGGTTCATGCGGAGATGAGGCGGGCCGCTCCTCTGTGCACCTGCGCCTGAAGGGGCCCGTACTCCACGCGCTCCCCGTCCACGGTCATCACGCCGGCCTCGCTCAGCGGCTCCAGCCTCAGCGCTCGCGCGCGACGGTACACCAGATGCGTGCAGCCCCAGTCCAGGTGCGTCCCGCTCTGCATGGTCCAGAAGAGCCGCAGCAGCGCGGTGCGCGAGATTCCTGCCGTCACGTAGAACAGATGAATGAGTCCATCGTCGGCGCGAGCGTCCGGAGCCGCCACCAGATCCTCGCCCAGGTGCGACTGGAACATGGCGAGCACCAGGACGAACTCCTGCTCCTCCACCAGCGTCCAGTCCTGTGGGACGGGCTGCTCCAGCGGGACCAGCAGGTGGTCGGGTAGCCGGCTGTCTGCGGTAGAAAAGCCAGCAGAGGCCGATTCTCGCTGGCTTTCGGCAGGCAGGAACGCTAGTTTCCCCTGATAGATCCGTAAGTAGGCCAGACGCAGCAGCGTGCTGAGGAGAAAGCGCAGCGCTCCGATCTGGCGGAACTGCTCGCTCTCGATGTCCACGTCAGCCACGAAGCCCCAGGCCAGAGACAGGAAGGAGAAGAGACGAGCGCCGGACGACAGACGGATGGAGATCAGGTCCAGTTTAGAGATCAGACCCTTACAGAGCAAAAAGCCACAGCTGGTCAGCAGATCTTCACCCCACACCGGAGACGCTCTGCAGAGAACAAGCAAACACAAATACATGCTCACAACACGACAGATCAATCAGTCAGTGCTTACTGGATACAAATGACCGAAAAATAAAACAAAATGAACCTGATAATTACTTGACCATTTAGCGCCCAAACTCTGGAATAACTTACCTAACATTGTTCGGGAGGCAGACACACTCTTGTAGTTTAAATCTAGATTAAAGACCCATCTCTTTAACCTGGCTTACACATAACACACTAATACGCTTCTAATATTCAAATCCGTTAAAGGATTTTTAGGCTGCATTAATTAGGTCAACCGGAACCGGGAACACTTCCCATAACACCCGATGTACTTGCTACATCACTAGAAGAATGGCATCTACGCTAATATTAGTCTGTTTCTTTCTTATTCCGAGGTCACCGTAGCCACCAGATCCAGTCCGTATCCAGATCAGATGGTCACTGCAGTCACCCGGATCCAGTACGTATCCAGCCCAGATGATGGATCAGCACCTAGAAAGGACCTCCACAGCCCTGAAAGACAGCGGAGACCAGGACAGCTAGATGAGCCCCAGATACAGATCCCTTGTATAGATCTCGTCTCAGACGACCACCGGGACAAGACCACAGGAAACAGATGAGTCCTCTGCACAATGTGACTTTGCTGCAGCCTGAAATTGAACTGCTGGTTTTCTCTGGTCAGAGGAGAACTGGCCCCCCGACTGAGCCTGGTTTCTCCCAAGGTTTTTTCTCCATTCTGTCACCGATGGAGTTTTGGTTCCTTGCCGCTGTCGCCTCTGGCTTGCTTAGTTGGGGACACTTCATTTCCAGCGTTATCGTCGACTTGATTGCACAGACACTATTTAAACTGAACTGGATGATGACATCACTGAATTGAATGATGAACTGTCTTTAACTGAAAAATGAGTGTTTACGATTATCATTTTGCATTATTCACACACTATTTTCTTAATTAATGCTGTTCAGTTGCTTTGACACAATCTGTATTGTTAAAAGCACTATATAAATAAAGGTGACTTGACTTGATAATATTAGTTGTATACCTAAACACCCGCTACAACAGATTTATTTTCTATTACAGTATTTCTTAATATTTTGAAATTTGAATTTTTGTTTTCAGTTTAGCTCAAGTTTTTGTCATTTTTATTAGTTTTCCCCCCTCCAAACATTTCTATTCAGCTTTAATTTGATGTATTTTTATTTAATATTTCAACTTGTTTTTAGTCAGTTTCTAATCTTCTAAAGTAATTTATATTTATTTTAGTAATTTTAGTGCTAAAATTTTTTTTTCGGTTATTTGCCAAGACAACATTTCAACTAAGTTTTTTTTAATTCAGGTTTTTCATCTAATATTTAATTTTATTGCGGCTTTACTTTTGTAATATTTTTAGTTAACAATAACAACATATCATAAATTACATTAGCAAAACTATAATCAATGAAATTAAGTTTATATAATGCAGCATAATTTTACAAACAGCAAAATAAACCTTATATTTATTTATTAGATTAAAATATTAATTACTATTTAATAATCTTTTGAATTAGCTATTTATTTATTTATTTAATTTAATTTAAATCTATTTTTAACATTCAGTTTGAGTAATTTCGTTATGTGCTTCTGACATTTTCGTTAGGTTTTTTAAAAAATATTTTTATTCAGCTTAAATTTAACTTTAGTATGAGTAATTGTAGTACTACATCTTTAAATTATTTGACCTATTTCCTTTAGTTGTCAAGGCAACATTTCCATTTTTTTTGTTCAAGTTATATTTATATTTGTTATATTTGTTCAAGTTATATTTATTTTATGTCAGCTTTATTTCAGTTACCGAAAATAGTAGGTCTATTCAGTGCATAGTGTACACACTGCTAGTATTTCATTCTCAACACATCCCAAGTCCTGATCAGAGCACCTGACAGCCATCATGACAAGACAAAACTCACCTCTAGTCGTTTAAGTACAGATCTTTGATTTCCTGAATGAAACACTGAACTCCCTGCAGCATTTTAGCTTCTTTAGCTCAAACAAGGGGAAGAACCGGCTCACAATGCACCGCACATTCAACAATTTAGATTACAGCCGTTACATTTAGCGTTACATTCACCATTTCTTTGCGAGTTTCTATTTGAAAATAACGGATGAGATTAATAAACCAGGAAAACGGATGAACAAAGTTATTACTGGCACATCTGCAGTTCTGAAGTACTAATAAAAGGTTGAAACATGAACGATGTGCTGCCTTTAATCAAATGACTGTTTGCTTACAGTCTCATTAACTGACAGTAGCGGGCGTTTGTACTTCATTAATCAAAGAGCAACGGCTAAACTCTGAATTACAGTCTCTGCGCCGGTGTTCAATCATTTCTCGGGTGAGTTGAGTACTGATGAATGTTCTACTTCATCTTCATGAATAGAAATTTCTCTAATAAAGCTGACATTCGAGTCTCGTACCGGCAGAGATTGTAGGTGGGGGGAGTGAATGTACAGCGCTCTGTTCCACCTGCAATACCGCGACTAAGGTGCCCTTGAGCAAGGCACTAAACCCCCAACTGCTCCCCGAACGCCGCAGCAAAAAATGGCTGCCCACTGCTCCGGGTGTGTGTTCACGGTGTGTGTGTTCACTGCTTTGTGTGTGCACTTTGGATGGGTTAAATGCAGAGCACTAATTCCGAGTATGGGTCACCATACTTGGCCACACGTCACGTCCCTTTAATGAGGTTCAAGTCGAGTGTTTTATGAACTGACCCGTTATCACCTGCTCTCTGATCGGATGTAAGTCACTGGCGATTCGTTAATGCTTTCATTCAGTTTTCTCTCTCAGCAGAACTGAGCATTTATTCTTTAGTTCAAAGAAATCCCACAGAGATTCAACTCTCACAAACAGACGCTAATGACATGAATAATGACTGCTTGCATCGCAAACTTTAAATTGAAGATCTGGTCTGAACGAAGCACAGCACAGGTTGAGTTTAATGGAGATCACTAATTCAAATGAGGTCTAGAGCTGCATGAACACTGACTCTAGATCAGAGATTCAGAGCGTGCTTCAGTCAGATTCTGAGCGTTTGAGGCTTTACTGTATTTCAAAGTGTTTATACAGTTTATATCTGGGAGACTCTCCTGAGGAAGCGTTGCCATTTTTACAGTATGTCATCAAATTATATATTCTGTTTAAGACATTCAATTTTAAATGAATGAGCTATCCAATAGAGATGCACAATATAGCAGAACCATATTGGCTGCTGGCTGATATTACTGAGATTTTTTGTTACTTTTATATGTTGACCTTGGATAGGCCCTGTTTAATGGATATGAATATTTCCCTCATTTTGACATTTAATGGGGGAAAATTATTTCATCTTTAAAACACTAGTAAATTCATAAGTCTGTTCAATGTAATTTTTAGAAAATTTCTAAATGAATACAAATATGTCATACTGTGCATTAATGTTGTGGTCCCTAAATTCAAAATGAATTCTAAATTAAGAAAATTAATTTAAAATAAAATAAAATACAAATACAATTATATAAAATTTGAATTAATAAATTATTAGAGTATTTTTTTAATGAATTAGATAATTAATTTAAATGATTTAAATTAATGTTTAGTTTTTAATGTTTTATTTTGAGTTTACATACAAAACAGAACAGAATTTTATTAATGGTCATAATGTATTGGCTTTGGTCCAAATTTTTATACTGAATTTCATAAAATTTTAATTAAATTACTAAAATTACATACAATTTTATATAAATTGGATCTTTTATTTAAATCATTAAATATTTAAATTAAAGTTGAGTTTTGTGTTTTGTTTTTAAATGTATATATAAAACAGAATATAATTGTATTATTTGCCATAACATATTGGCATTTCCCGAATTTTAATAAAACTTATATTAAATTAAATTTTAAATGAATCGGATAATTCATTTAAATGAATGAAATGAAATTAAAGTTTAGTTTTTAGTGTATATACAAAATAACAGAATTTTATTATTCACCATAACTTATTAGCATTGAGATTTAATATTGGATTTCATACCATTTAAATAAATTAAATTTGAAATGAATTAGTTCATTTAAAGTAATTTAAATTAAAGTTTTGTTTTTAGCATTTTATTTTTTATTTCTATAGCATATCATTTCCTTATTGGCTGTAATGTATTGCCATTAGCCAGAATTTTAATATCGGCTTTCATATTTACTCGTCTCTAAACATCATGTAAAGAAGCTGAATCCAGTTGGTCCCTTTACATGTCAATCAGACAGTGTGGTGGGCGGTGCTTGTCCTGCATGATCTAATGAGTTCTCTCTGATTGGCTCACCGTGTGTACCCAAACCTTTGAACAATATTGTAGTTTTTTACTAAACCTGGAGTTGAATATAATTGGCTCTTATGAGAAATTGCTTGTGATGTTCCTCATTTGTAAGTAAGTTCATCAATTAAATGAATGAATGTTAATTATTTAGTTAGATACAGCAGTTCATCTCAGAGCATAAGACAAATGCATGAAACTCCTATAAACGTTTCACAGTCTAAACGGTATGAAGTTTTGATCCTATGTGTGTGTGTGTGTGTGTGTGTGTGAGTGTAACAGCACTGATGGTGTGTGTGTGTGTGTGTGTGAGTAACAGCACTGATGGAGTGTGTGTGTGTGTGTGTGTAGAGTGACAAAATAACAACGATATGAATTACAAAATAAATAAAAAAATAAAATAAAATGTTCTGTTTTATTGTTTAGTTAATAAAATAAAATTATCAATTATAAAATTAAAAAATAATTAAAATAAAACAGAATATAATTAAAATAAAACAAAAAATGTCCATACCAAAAATAAAATAAATAATATAAATAAATCAATAAAAAAGAAAAGTTAATTATAAAATAAAATAATACAATTCTTGAACTTACAAGGTGAATAAAATAAAATGAAATAATCAGTTATAAAATAAATAAAAATAATAAAAATATAAATTATACAATTAAAATAAAATAATAACGATATGAATTACAAAATAAATAAATAAATAAAATAAAATGTTCTGTGTTTTAATGTTTAGTTAA